ATCTGTGAGTTAGCCATGCCCTGACTTAGATCAGCCCAGAGGTGGTTTCAGGGTTTGATCTGTGAGTTAGCCATGCCCTGACTTAGATCAGCCCAGAGGTGGTTTCAGGGTTTGATCTGTGAGTTAGCCATGCTCTGACTTAGATCAGCCCAGAGGTTGTTTCAGGGTTTGATCTGTGAGTTAGTCATGCCCTGAATAAGATCAGCCCAGAGGCTGATTCAGGGTTTGATCTGTGAGTTAGCCGTGCCCTGACTTAGATCAGCCCAGAGGTTGTTAATTATTTAGTAGCATTCGGTATTTCCAGCTAACCAGCTAAGCTATATATTCTATATTTATTAGTTTTCATATTAATTTTTTTGATTGTTTTAGGAGTGATAACTATCAATCAGGTCCTGAGGTTCTACGAATGGGTGAAGACTTAATGACATACTTGGCCAACACTGGAGAACTGTTTGTATACAAGACAAATAACTTTTGGACAACAATCAAAAGTGCTGGGTTAGTTTCCTGTTGTGTTTTCATCCATTTGAATTATTTCAATTAACAGGGTGCAATATGGTTTAGCTTGAGTATAAACCATGACTCCGGCAAGCTACATGTAGATCACAGGTCATCAAAATGCTGCTACATTTGACACAGTCACTGCACTGTCAGCTCAGCACATCAAATCTATACTGTAAATTTTTGTGTGGGCTGTTGATGTAGATGACCTATACACCTCTCTACCTTAGGTCTAATCTTTTCCCATTTTAAACAATGTGCTGTTCTCTTGAGAATAAGATTCTTTGTTTGTGTGGTATCCATATTAATGTGTCTTCTCATGCACAGCATAAACAAAGAAATGACTCTCTAGGTAATGACATGTAACGTCTTGGGATGTCATACACTCAAGTGCAACAAAGAGTGCTTAGTTACAGTATTTCCCACTTTAACTGAGAATAGACAGAATAGACCTTTTTACTGATATGGCAGCCATCTTGAATTATATGCCGAGGGGGCAAATGTAAAAAATTTATAAAGCAGAGTGGTGGGGTTACATTTTAAAATAATTTGAAAGTGTTTAACATATTTTTTCAAGTGCCAGCAAATTCAATGGCTGTTTAGATGTGCTTCTCATTGTAAAGTATTGACCATTGTATTAAAAAAAACACCCTGACTGCTGTGCAGTCTATAAATTTGCCCCTTCAGCATCCCATAATGTCTTATTTAAAACAATAGAATTCAAGATGCCAGTTGTATTGGTAAGGATGTCTATTAAACCATTGTGTAAGAGTAGTTTCATGATGTTTAAAAAATCATTGTAACCAACAGGTCGGCTATATATGCAAACAGAAACTTCCTGGACTTGTACCATAGGTCCCATCCAGAAAGACTTGCCAAAAATGGCTATGGAAAACCAACTTTTATTGGTGAGTGTGTCAGCCTTCAGTCTAGCAGGCACTGGTTTGGACTGCATTGGGGTGTTGAATACAACAAGTGAATAAGAAGGAAACTTAAGCACTGCATAAAAAGATTTGGAACTGAACTGACGTTAGTACTTCATCACTGGGGTAGGGAGGGGGCACACTCCCCCCAATAATGGAGACCTCGTTAATCCCCAGCTGTCCTTTGTCAGAGTGAAAGAGGACTGACTGACTAGCATCCAAATTATCAGTAAACACAGCCTGTAGATACGAAATAAATCAGAGACCATTCTGTTACTTGGTATCAATCATCTTAATGATTCCCATGAACCAGAAACTCAAGGAGGTCGAAAAGTATAACAGCCATAAATTTCTTTTATTCTGTGCTAAACCTGCCCTATATAAGTATCTGCTTGCGTGTGATTCCTGGACTTTGGCATCACATCAGAAGAGTATCTTGGGTCTCTCCTGGATTCGAGAGTTTTTCTCAGACTCCTTAGTTAGCCCTTCAATTATTCATGTCATAATGTTTTTTTTTTTAGGTGATGTTTATGTGCACCCAAGCGCTGCTGTAGACACTTCTGCAGTCGTAAGTAAAACATTTCACTCAAGGGCGGATCGAGCCAAAATTTTAGGGGGGGGGGGGGCTGATTGAGTTTCTTCCATCAACACAACGAAAAACAATAAAGAAAGCATCTAATTCTTCAGTTTTGTTCTGTTTTGTTTTTTTCTGCTGAAGGGGGGCTTCAGACCCCTTTGCCCCCCGGATCCACCCCTGTCACTAACACATTCTAACTCATTTTCTAAACAACACCGGAAACAAATAGTTCTTTCTTTGAACAATAAATAGACATAATGTAGATGCAAGCACAGTTTTTCTGAGGGTCTTATGTTGTCACTATATTTCATTAGATGATTAGAGACCTTTAGGCCGGGTGACGAGTACATGTACAAGTTGTTAACTTTTGAAGATTGGCACATTTTGCTAGTCTACGTAGTTTGAACCTTTAGATTGTGACAAATCAAAAAATAAGTACGAATCAATGTTTACAACATGCACAGAACCAATTTTAAAACTCGTCAGATCTAAGGGTCACTATCGTTGCTGTGGTCGATTTTGATGGGTGGAGGCTAGTTGTGCTGGTCTAATGAGTTTTTTGAGAAGTTGTTGTTGTTGGTGTTTTAGCAATAGTTGTTCAGTGATCGTTGTTGCTTTGGTTGTTGTAGTAGGTGGTGTGGCTTTGAGGGAAGCATGGGTAGCCTTAGCAGTGAGTGTGCTCGCTCTCAGCAATGTGATCTGGGTTCACTTCTCAGATTCAGTGTTGTATGCAAGTAGAGTTGTTTTTTGCTTCTCCCTTGAGTTTTGAGGGTTTTCTTGGGTTTTTCCTCGCTTCGTAAACATCAACTTCCAAATTCTTATTCAATCTAACTGCATGCATGACCTGTTAGGCCAGCTTTCCGTCCACCATGGAGTGGTAAATCCGATTAGATTTAGATTTTTAGTGGCTATACTGTAGTCGTTGCAGTGGTTGTTATTACTCTGTTGTTCTTGTTGGTGATAGTGGTGATAATAGTTGTTGTGTGAATATTTTTATTTCAGGGATTAATGTTGAGAGGTTGTTATTGGCAATGTACTCGTTAGGTGTTGTTAGTGTCATTTCAAAATATTTACACTTTACACTTTGACCGTGAATGTTTATTATCTGTAGCTTGGTCCAAACGTGTCAGTTGGAAGTGGAGTYGTCATAGGACCCGGTGCAAGAATCAGAGAATCTATCATACTCGATGGAGCTGAACTTAAAGTAGGTTTTCATTGTATTTGTGATGTTTGTACAGTCTTATAATTCTATTTCATTCATCCATTCATCCATCCATTAATCCATTCCTTTCCATTTCATCCGTCCATCCATCTATCCATTCATTTATCTACATATCTATCAGTCCATCCATCCACCCATCCATTAATCCATTCCTTTCCATTTCATCCGTCCATCCATCTATCCATTCATTTATCTACATATCTATCAGTCCATCCATCCACCCATCCATTAATCCATTCCTTTCCATTTTATCCATGTATCTATCCCATTCACGCGTCCGTTCATCCTCCTCATCCACCATCCATCTGCCCATTTATCCATTCAATCCATTTCGTTCATCCATTCATCTCATTTCATCTGTCTATCCATTTATCCATGCATCTATCCCAATCACCCATCCCTTCATCTATTCCATCCACCATCCCATTTATTTCATTTTCACTTTTTTTAATTTCAAAAACAGGATCATTGTTGTGTTTTATATTCGATCATTGGTTGGAACTGTACCGTGGGCCAGTGGTCAAGGGTCGAAGGTCATCGATGCGATCCCAACCCCAATGATCAATTCGCAAGACCTGATGGGGAATCACTATTCGGTATTGATGGAAAGCTAACGCCTTCAGTAACCATATTAGGTGAGCTGGTTGTTTGACTCTTTTCTTATTAATAAATTAATAAATTGATCTTTCATTTATATGTCATTCATTATTGATGTATTTAAATGGTATATTCATTCGTCCATCCATCCATCTTTTCACRACATATCACGTAAATAACACGTTCTGATTGGCCGACAGCTGCTCTCGTGGTTCCACTTGAGTTTTGAACCTCTTAAGACGTTATCTTTGATCAATAAGAGGACAGACAATGGAAATCTATGAGCGATTTGTTAAATCCATTCATCCATTCATCCATCCATGGATCCATTCATCTATTCATCCATTCATCCATTTATCAATCCATCCATCCATCCATCCATCCATCCATCCATCCATCCATCCATCCATCCATCCATCCATCCATCCATCCATCCATTTACATATGTACACTATGTACACTATTTTGCAGAATCAGTTCAATTTCAATGTTGATGAGTAGTTACTCGAAAGAGTCATACTTTAGTATATTAC